CAGGTAGACGCGTTCACAGCGCTATCTGCGGGCGCCGAGCAATCTCCTGAGGCGGCGACTACAGCAGCAGTACTGGTGGAGGCTGAGGAGCAGGAGGGCTACACGGTGACCAACGCCGTGCAGAGCTATGTGCTGCGGGGGGAAGAACTCAGCGGCCTGGACTGCAGCGTGTACAATATCGTCTCCAGCTATGAGGTTCGACGTGTGCCGCCAGCTCAGCACCCGCACCGAGAGCGATTGGGTCTACAGGTCCCGGTGGCAGTTCGACGCCGCAAGCGCACTACCCCTGCCGCACCCATAACCGCCCCCGTGCCTGCCCCTGTGCCTCTGCTGACTGCAGCCCCGGCCCCTCCTCCTGAGCCACCTGCTCCTACAGCTGCAGCGACACTCGACCATCCAACGTCTCAGACAGCCACGGAGCTGCCCCGCCTGGTGGCCTTCCACGGCACGCATCCGCTGTACAGAACACATGTCCACATCCGCCTACCGCGGCCGCGATATGTACAACTTGGAGGCTCTCTTCCCCGCCGGCCCCGCCCTGGCACCTCTGCTGCGAGCATGGCGCAGTACTACGCGTTTGTCCTGGGTACTTTCAAAGCTCACCGGGGTCAGCCCATCCCCCCCGGGCTGACTGTAAAGGAAGCCTACGACACCTGGTGGGCAGAGCTGGGCACTACCGAGGCAGGTCGCTCGTACCAGGCATACGTATCGGTGCTGCTGGACAACATCGAAGAGGACCACGCTGGGAAAGCCCGCCGTCAGGCGGAGTACAACCAGCGGCGCCGCCAGCAGCGTGCAGCAGCGGCAGCAGCCGCGCTGCCTGAAGGTGACAGCACGAGCGCTTCGGATGGAGATACCGATGACGGCATCCGCGGGCATCTCAGGCCTGATCCTGAAACACAGCCGCCCGCCGAGGACCAGCTGGAGCACTTCGTGTACATCCCAGGTCAGGAGTATCCGACGGCTGGCACCGACCTCGCCGCCGTCGCTCTTACGGACCTGTTTGACTGCACCAACGCTGCTGGCGTGTATGCCTATAATGCAGCACGGCGCTGCCGGGCCCCGGCCCTAGCGGATGGCCATGGTGCAGGCAGCGATCGTTTCAGCCGTCGGATCACACCAGCGGACCTGCCCCTCCTGACTGAAGCAACCAAGCGTCTGAAGCGGTATCTCGTTGCCGCAGCAGCCGGCACTGTTGAGGCAGATGGGGGCGCCCACACGGGACTGACGGCCACACCTGAGATGGACACCCCTCGTGTCGAGCTGCACCGCCCCACCAGCGGACCCCTGGTCGCCATCGTGCGCATGCCTGGCACTCCTGAGCGGACTGAACAGGCTCGCATGCCCATCTATGTGCACCTCCCCCAGCCGCCCAGCATCGACGACACCATCGAGCTGTTCACGCTTGCCCCCCACCAGGCCGTGCCCTTTATGCTCATGGCTCGGTACTTCGATCATCGCGATGAGCCCAACCCTGGCGACCCGCCACAGATGCTTGTGGAGGGCAAGCCCGGTACCGGAAAGAGCCAGTTCGTACAAGCGCTCCTGTGGTACACCTTCCAGCATGGCTGTCCGCACTGGGCGGCCACCTGCGCCTACTCATGGGCTGCTGCAACTGCCTTCAGCACGCCGGTGCATCGCAGCCTCTCTACCCACGCCATGTTCGCCCTATCTGCTGGCAGCAACCGAGCGGACAGCGTCAGGAAAGGCAGCGCAGCCAGCCGACAGGTGCATCGGAATGTCGGTGATGGTGCACTCATCATTGACGAGATCGGCATGAACAGCCTGGACCACCTGGGTGCGTGCAACCAGTCCTGCACTCGTCACCTGTTGCCGCCACCGCATCTCGCCGGCGACCACCCCGCCGCCACCATCTTCAGCGGCCGTCCCAGCGCCAACACGGGCGACGAGTTCCAGCACCCGAAGCCAGGTGGCCCGCCCCTCTACAAGTACGCCGCTGCTGTGGAATGCAACCCTCAGTTCTCGCCCTCTGTCCCAACCGTGCAACCTCTGCACGGAGACGAGGACAACGATGGCGACCCTAATGAGGCCGCCGCTGGATCTCAAGGCAGTCAGCAGCAACCCGAAGCAGCAGCACGCCGGCCCCGGGCCGTCCCACAGACGCAGAGCTGCATACTTGAGGGCTTCCGGGTTTACCGATCCCTGGCTAAGACGGTCTTCTTGCTGGAGAAGCAGCAGCGCCAGGACAGCAGCCCCTCTGGTCGTCGCCTGACAGAGTATGCCTCTATGTTTGGCGGTGAGCCAGCCACCGAGCAGCGCATAGCCGAGATGGTCGACGACCTTAACAGCCGCGCCATCGTCGACTTGGCCGACCTGGCACACCTCGAGCCGCGCGTCGTGCTGCAGAGGAACGAACCACGCCACACACTCAATACCCGGCTCATCATGCTGGAGGCACAGCGCAAGAAGCAGCGCCTTGTGGTGTGGAATGCGGACCACGTCCCTGTCCAGAAGCGCGGTGCTGCTGCGGAACCGGGCCTGACACACGTGGAGAAAGCAGTTGCGATGCGGATCAAGGATCACGAGTTTGGCCACACCACCGCCGACACGTGGTACTACCATGGCGCCCGATACATCCTCCTTGATACGACTGCTGCCGATGCCGGAGCGAGCCACAACAACGAGGTGGAAGCCTGCGGCCTGCTTGAGGATGGCCGCGAGCCAGCCGATGATGGCCGTGGCCCCTACCGCCGGCTCAAGTACCTTCCAGCGGCTGTCATTGTGCGGCCTATAAGCGGCCACATCCCCGGCACCGTGCTGCAGGGCCTTGGAGACTACGCCAGCAGGGGTGGTGCCTTCATCCTGTCACCCCGGGCGTCTTGCATTGCCGAGGTCGACATGCCTGCCGCCGGGTACGGCACCATCACAAAGCAGATCCGGCGCCTCAACGTACCGCTCGGCGACCGCCAGGCGGTCACCGATTACTTCGTGCAAGGCCGCAGCTTCAAAGACGAGTGCTGGCTGGTGGATCTCGCTGTCCCACCCAACGGCATCAAGCGCGCCACCCTGTATGTGCTGCTGACCCGCTTCAAGACGCTGGACCACGTCCGTCTGCTCCGGCCGCTCTACACTACACCGCACGAGCACAAGAGGATAATCAAGCAGTTCCTCAGCGCGACTAACCTCGAGCCGGACCTGGCCGCCAACCTGCGCCTGCTGAAGCAGGCAGCGCGCGAGACCGAGCAACGATATACGGCCGAGTTCCAGCATGCACGACAGCTGGAAGCGCGTTGGGCCCCCTCGGCCCAGAGCTAGTTGAGTTGAGTCGAGTTGAGTTGAGTTGAAACCGCGACCCGCCACTGTACGGCGTTAAATGACAGCGTCCGGGGTAAGGGGGACACCCCGGACGACACGCTCGCTCCCTACGGGAAGGAATGGGGAGCCGCCCACCAATGTGTGCAGCCCCCCGCGGGTTCGACTCCCGCGCGAGCGCTTCACAGGCTAAATTCCCGTGCTAGACTCCGCAAGCTTAAATTCCTTCCGCAAGCTTAAATTCCTTCTTTTGAGAGCGCGCTGTTCGCGCGAGTGCGCCGTACCTCCGCAGCAAGTACGACACATAGCCTGTACTGGTCCGCGCAATGCAGGAATTTGCCACCAGCCAGCACAGGAGCTACGGCCCACTCCGCGGGTGCTGCCCAGAGCCTGCCTTGACGACCCAGCTAGTGTGGAGGTGCCGTACTGCATGCGGTTAGAGCCGGATCTGCCCAACCGCACTATGCTGGTCGGCGACAGTGTTGCAGAACGCATGTTCATATGCAACGCCTGCCACAAGGCCTTGAGTGGTAAGTCAGTTTGTGCTGCATGCTGTTCGTCGTGTCTATGCGGTATAACTCAGTGCGGCACATTCTGCCTGCGTCTGTTCTGCTCCGTTCATCTGCAGCATGTGCTTGCCTCTCCTGCCTTTGCTGGCCGCTTTCCTATTGATTCCCTAGTCGTCTCGGACCTACTTGCCCGTGCTTGCCCCCCTCCTACAGCCTGCCGAGTTCCCGAAGCTGCACTGGCGCGTCTGGACCCTGGCGATGTGCCGCGCGTCAACCATCTGGGTGACCCTCTGCCGTCGCCCACTTTCCTGGAGGGGCAGCTTCTGGGCCGCGGCCGCATCGTCCAGCAGTTGCTCATCATGTACCTGGCAGACCGACCGCCGGACGTCTTCCCGCGTGCTGTAAAGACTCACGGCATTGGGGTCGTAAATCCTGACCCGAATATGCTGCGAGCACAGCTGCCGGCGCGGGCGTCCGACCTGGCTGGCGCTATCACGGTTGTGTGTGTCGACCAGGTTCACAACCGGGCGGAGCTGCTGGAACGTGTGCGAAAGGCGCCAGGTCTACAGGTGCGAGGACAGGTCATCGTCGCCTGGGTCCGGTTCTTGCAGCACAACGATGAGGAGGAGCTGGCTGTTGATGAGGATGCTCTGCAGGAGTACGAACGCATGGGCTGTGCTGCAGGTGTGCCGGACGAAATCTTGCATGCCGCCCTTGCGCCGACTGATCCGGAGGTGGCGAACGTTCTCCGCACCACCTTCCTGCACGATCGCACGGGTGCGGCAGGTGTGCGGCAGTTCCAGGACGTGGTGGAAGCGGCTGTACGTGATGGCAATCTTGCCGATGCAACTGCGGTACCTGACATGGATCCTGTAAGACCGGTGCAGCCAACACTGGCGGATCCGACCCCGAATGCAGGTGTGCTATTTTGTTACTGTGCTTCATGCGATCTGTTGTGTACTCTCTGCTTTCGTGTTGCCCTCGCACTGCACCTCCTGCACCGCCGCTACCGCACCTGTCCCGTGCATCGAAAGAATGCTCCTCTTGTGCTGACGAATCTCGATGCACAGCCTGACCTGCCGGATAGGCTGGACTCTTGCAGCGCACTCGCCTGTCCCGCTGGTGATGTGTTCTACTACTCCCCCGTGTATGTTATTGAGTGCAGGGCAACTTGCCGATGCAACTGCGGCACCTGACGTGGATCCTGCAGGACCGGTGCAGCCAACGCTGGCGGATCCGACCCCGAATGCAGGTGTGTTATTTTGTTACTGTGCTTCGTGCGATCTGTTGTGTACTCTCAGCTTTCGTGTTGCCCTCGCACTGCACCTCCTGCACCGGACAGCCGCTACCGCCACTGTCCCGTGCATCGAGAGAATGCTCCTCTTGTGCTGACTAATCTCGATGCACAGCCTGACCTGCCGGATAGGCTGGACTCTTGCAGCACACTCGCCTGTCCCGCTGGTGATGTGTTCTACTACTCCCCCGTGTGTGTTATTGAGTGCAGGGCAAGACCCTGGACCGGGGCCATTCACCGCCATCCTGCGTGGACCTGTCGACCAGCCAGTTGAAGGTGCACCAGGTGCGTGCATTCTCTTGCTTGGCTGAGCATAGGGCTGACGCATCTTCGCTTGTTTGTAACGCGTTCGAGACGCTTCGATTTCGCTTTTGTCCGGCCTATGCACACACCATGCTGCATTTACCGCCGTTGCTGCACCATGCTATCAGCGTGGATTGCATCCTGACCCAGCTCTTGCGCATCTGTG